GTCCCCTTCATCCACTGATGGTGTCATATTCACAAAGAAAAGGTTGACCCCTGCCAAGAAATGTCATGGGAAGTTAAATAAAACTGTACAGTTATAACGTTTGATAGCTAAGTTGCTATCTACAGGTGTTTGGTTAACTGTTTTTGAAAAACAGTGATGCACAACTACAAAACACATTCTAAAGTGTTTTAGCAATAATAATTTTTGATTATATAAACAAGTGAAAGTAAATTTAGCACCCCCTTGCTGCTATTTCTAAACAAACAAAAATGTTGTTATTGCAAGTAACAGCTATTACAGAACTCAATGTCTTTATAGAAAAGCACTAAAGTGCAAACCCTCGGCGAATTGCGCACGCGCGATACTGCTAATTGATAGGCTGGGCTATTTGTACGCGCGGTCTCCCGCAGCATGCGGAGAGTCTGACACGGGCTACTTACAGCAGTATATAGCATGCGGGAGTTGATACCGTTGTGACTTCCTGAGCCCCCAAGGTACACAGAAGCGAGCGGATCAGGTGGCGGTAAGCCGAGTGCTAATATGCATATTGGCTTTTCGCTTGTTTTCACGGCATATCTCTCGAACGCAGTCGTTTCAGGAAAATCGCCCTTTTATTTTTCAGGCTCGCGTAGTTCTGAAGCCGCTGGTATCGCTAATAGGCCGCCTAGTGCCAGAATAAGCGTCGACGCACAGACAGACAGACAGACAGACAAAACCCTCGCTGCGCATGCGCGTAGAGAGTTAATGAAAGTGCAAAACCCTCCGCGTGCTGCGCATGTGCGATAGTCTCCCGCTAATTGTTGGGCTGGGATGTTACTCATGGTTTCCCGCTGGTAGCTCGTGGAGAGTCTAGCTTGCAGGAGTCGATACACACCCTCCGTTGTGACTTCTTGTGCCTCCAAGGTACACAGAGCAAGCGAATCAGGTCGAGGTACGCTAGCATATTGGCTTGTTAACGGTTACGGTATATATACTTGGTTTGTCATTCTGTCTGTCTGTCCGTCTGTCTGTCTGTTACCACGTTTTCTGCCACCACGCGCAACGAGACAAAAAAACAGCGATACCAACAGGTTCGTTTCTACACTGGCTTGATTTAATTAAAAAATAGCCATTTTCGTAGAAGTGCTGCGTTCAAAAGTTATGGCGTGAAAACCAAGTGAACAAGCCAATATGCAATTTAGCACAGGCTCAACTCGACCGCGTCAGCTCGCTCTGTGTATCTTGAAGGCACAAGAAGTCACAACGAAGGGCGTGTATTGATATATACTACTGTAGCTAGCCCGTGTCAGACTCTCCGCGAGCAGACCACGAGTAAAGGCAGCCCAGCCCATCAATTAGTGGTACCGCGCATGCGCAGTTCACCGAGGGTTTGCACTTTAGTGCTTTTCATTCACTTGGTTTCCACGCCATAACTTCTGAACGCGGCACTTTTACGAAAATCGTCACATTGAAAATGAAGCCAGTGTAGCGCTGAACCCGTTGGTGTCGCTATTAATTTTACCGGTTGCGCGTGGTGGTGGTAACAGACCGACAGACGGACAAACCAAGAATAGTAAAACCCTCGCTGCGCATGCGCGCCGACGGTAAAAACTCCCTTAACAAATTGTGACCACGCCCACATTATTTGTTTGTTTGTTTACTCGTATATGCGTTTAGGCGGATTGCTTACAAAAGCAGTAACAAACCCTCGGCGAACGGCGCATGCGCGGTACCTCTAATGATGGGCTGGGCTATTGGCGTTTACTCGCGGTCTATCGGTTCGCGGAGAAACTGACACGGGCTAGCTACGGTAGTAGATAGCTCTCGGGAATCGATACACGCCCTTCGCTGTGGCTTCTTGTGCCTCCAAGGTACACAGAGCAAGCAGATCAGGTCGGGGTGAGCCACTTGTAATATAAATACGCATGCACACCGTTTATTGATGGGTTGGGCAACACAACTCGGTTGCAACAGTGCCAGTTTCTCGCTCTTGAACGCAGTCTTTTCAGGAAAATCGCCCTTTTACTTTTCAGGCTCGCGTTGTTCTGAAGCCGCTGGTATCGCTAATAGGCCGCCTCGTGCCAGAATAAGCGTCGACACACGACAAACCAACTACTGTAACCCTCGTTGCGCATGCGCACCGAGGGTTAATTATGTCCAGAAAATGGCAACTAAATTAAAATGGCAGTGTGCTAGCTATAGCTAGAGGGTATTATAAACACATTGTGCCTGCACTGTGTTCAACACCCGCAGCAACAGGGGGCAAGGGGTAGATATTCACCACATGTAGTGTCTTCAACAAGAAGTAATTAGGTTATGGCACATGGTGGTGGTTTCATGGGCAAGCTTTAATTATCAGTACAACCACGGCAAGACAAAGAATGAAGGCCCATTTGTGCGCCCGGCAAAGCTCACGTAACACCGCGCAGACTCTGCCAAGTTGCTCTTCGAGCAAATGCAGGCCTGTGTCCCCCCCCCGCCTGATAATGCGCGCGCAGCGCATTGGACAACGCCCCTGCTCGGCGCATGCGACTCACAGATGCTAGTTACTGCTTTGTGCTGTGTGAGCTCCACGATCTACCGTAATGACTTGCGCAAGAAAGAATCGTTCGCTTCATGTCTCTGCACACCTGCGGCGTTCAATGAAAACATCAGCGCTTCAACTAATTATAAGGAGCATACTGAAGAAGAAATCGCGAATGAGCGAATCCTCGCGTGGAGAACTGAAAGTGCGAATGAGGTCTTTGGGTACATTTATAGCTAGATAAGGGTCCGTAGACTATTTCTAGTGTGTTTTAAAGGCATAGCAAGTCATTCTCGTCGAGTTTTGTGGCGTTTTGTATGCGGATCACGTGAGGTTTCACCTGTGGCCCCATCCCTATATACAGCGTCTGACTCTGTAATATTGAACGACGTAGCTCTCTGGGCCTCGCTCTGGGCTGCAGGAACGACGAAATGATTCGTTGTCTCTAGCTACCTAAAGTCTGTTCGCGTTCACCTTGCCGCCGGAAGTGCACTAGTCAAAGCTGTTTACGCAAGGTTGCGTCATAATTGAAATATCACGAATATTTGTGGGCGGTGGATGTATGCCGCGCGTGCGTTGAATACGTTCCACGTGTTTTTCCGTGAGTTTTTCTAGTAAAGACAGTTTATTCAAACAACAAACCTCTCATTCTTGCCTTTTCCTTGGCCTGGGCTCCCGCAGTAGCGGCGGGGAGAGAGGGTTCTTGCTCGCGCTGCGCTACGCGTAAGCGCGCACATAGGGACCCGCGTGATTGCATTTTCGTGGTCAAAGGAACGTCGCGTACTTTGCTTATGTGCTAAGTACGTAAGTGGGCGTTGGGCGCGCTCACAAAACAGATAAATAGAACCTACAGTCAACTACAACCACGCTGCGCTTTCGAAATCGGTCGCTGTTTAGCTACATTACGGCAGATTTCCTACCGGCAAGGTGAACGCGAATAGACTTTAATTGCGTTTTTTCTCCTATATATAATATATAGCTCGACAAAGGATCTACTGCGTGCCGTCGCAAGTGTGTTGTGGGTATGACTTAGCCTTGCGGCATCGTTGATGAACCAATCCAACAAGCATTCCTTTTCTCGTTTTGTGCACTGTGGAGTGAGTGGGAAATTTTATATACATCGGGATTTTCTATACGTTTGTTGGACCTCACAAGTCCAATACGTGCGTGCATACATTCAAAGCCTATAATAGATACGCGATTCATTATCCGTGTATGCAGTGGCACATAACTTTATTACCTGGGATAGCATTCCTGGTGTGTCTGAAAGAGGGAATGTCGCATTGTTCTCCCTGGTAGCCTTGCTGGCAGACACACTCGCTGCCGTTACCTGCAGCTCGCTGACTGCAGACTCCCCACACGAAATCTCTTTCGTCGCAAGAAAAGCTAAGTTGTGCCATTAGCACCAAAAGGGTTTTCACCACAATCCTTCGCATCCTTAACTGTCCCTAACTTACGCTGACTCCGGCGAGTTTTATTGACCACTTGCTCGCAGTGCGCATGCGTGCTTGCCCTATGGCGTAATAACAACTCTTCATGCTGTCCGGTGTCAATGGATGAGCATCTCAATGAAAGAGTTAAATCATTTTGGATTCATTTACAGTCACATGCCATAGCTACAGCAATTCCGAGTCATTGAGCTATGCTTATAATGGTAGCTAGAGGACAAGCTAGTAGTGTCTGTCTGTCTGTCTGTCGGCGCGAGTTCTCGCACTACCAACCGGTTGTATATAAACAACAGGAAGATGGATTTAACGTGGCGATTTTCCTGAAACAACTGCGTTCCAGAGATATGGCGTGAAAACAAGCGAAAAGGCCAACGTGTGCGCGAGTTCTCGCGCTACATGCTACGAGGCGGCCAATGAGTGGCACCAACGAGTTGTGAACAACGAGAAGATGGATACGAACGTGGCGATTTTCCTGAAACGACTGCGTTCCAGAGATATGGCGCGAGAACAAGCGAAAAAGCCAACGTGCGGTCGATCGCGCACCCTCTCCGGCGCGCACGCGTCATGTCAATTTCGCTGGAGCATGCGCTATGCCACTGTGATTTACGGGCTTCCGTCAGTTTCGATCTCTGTTTTCAATGGATAAAACATGCTGAGCCAAGGTATGTCCGCAATTCAGCATAATAGTTCAGGTGGTGAGCAGCAGCCACACCTTCCCATGAGAACATTGAAACACAGAAGAGCCAATAGATTGAATAAAGCAAATAATTATGAGAGCCTCTGAAACACCCGAGCAATTGCTCTAACCGCTAATGCAACTACCCTGTGTTACAGCGAGACTTTTGTTACTGGCGCCGTCGATGACGCATGGCCCAGCATAATTATATACAATTCGCGCGTTTAGGGCACTTTAGTCCTTTTCATTTTAGCTGCACTGAGGTCTGGATGACACATTTTCAGAAGTGCTGTCTTCTCGTGAGAATGGCCCTTGCAATGTCGCTAACTGAAACACAAATAGCCTGCCATAACAAAAGCATATGTCAAAAATGATTGTTTGTCGTTAAAAATGCAAAAGAGGTAAAACCCATGTACCAACAGTTGTGATAGCCTGCCTATATAAATGTTTCTATGTCCAAAAGCAAAGACCCCCAGTTGTACTATTAGGTTGCTTGTTGAAGAACGTGGGTCTGCTGCATCTTTTCTTTCATCATTTCTGTGAAATTAAAGAGGATGTAGGGATGTCACATCATGAAAAATAAGTGAAATGAAAAGCACTGAAGTGCAAACCCTCGGCGCATTCTGACGCGCACGCATGAGTAAACGCATGCGCTGTATCACTAATCGATGGGCTGGGTTTAGTTTTAGCTGTTACTCATGGTCTCTTGCCAGCCCGCGCAGAGTCTGACGCGGGCTAACTACACTACCAGATAGCATGCGAGAGGCGATACACGCCCTGCGTTGCATCTTCTGGTGCCTCCGAGGTACGCAGAGCACGCGGATCGATCAGACCGCGGTAAGCCTTCCCGTCCGTTGCGTATTTGCATATTGGCTTTTTCGCGCTCTAGCTCTGCAATGGAGCATTTTCAGAGAAAACCCCACATATTTTCTGACCTTCGTCGCCCGTTGGGTAGATGGTATCGTTTCTGGGACGAACAGACATTCGAGAGGTGAGATGTAGAGTAACAGACACACGGACAGACCCAAGTACTGTAACCCTCGCTGCGCATGCGCGCCGAGGGTTAACAAGAAGATGTCTACACCCAAGACAGAAAGTCATTCATAACCCCATCCCCACAATTCTTTGTGTTTCAATCTTTATCTAGTCATGAATGCATGAGTATATACAAACTATACATATATTTACCTAGTATGAAACAAAGATGTAGGGATGAGGTTATGAATGACTTTCTGTCTCGGTGTAGGCATGATCTTCTTGTTCCCTTCTTTTTTATGTGACATCCCTACATCATCTTTCATTTCACAGAAATAATTTTTTCACTTGTTAGCAGTTTGGGAGCTAACAAAGGTTAGGTTATACGGCAGCGTACAACAGACCCAGTCTCAGATCGCATCTGGGGAGCTGCAGGGTGTCACTGGTGGAAGGAGTGAGTTGAGGTATCTGGGAGGTGGGATAGACACCAGTTTCGGTGTATCTTCATTTGGTGTGTTCGTTTGTTAATAGTTCCGCCTATTGCTCTGGGTGCGTGATCGATGGCCCTATATAGTGCTGCCACCGTGAGTATTACCCCGGCGCGCATGCGCAGCTAGGGGGTTACGGTAATTGAAGGGGCCAGAGCCAGAGTGAGCCAACCCTCAATATACAACTCTTGCCGGTTTTTGTTCTATAAGGACATTTAGAACATATTTGAAGGAAAACCGGCAAGAGTTGTACATTGAGGGTTGGCCCACTCTGACTCTGACCCCTTCAATTGGTCTGTACGTACGTCTGTCTGTCTGTCTGTCTGTCTGTCTGTTACCACGCTTTCTGCAACCACGCGCAACGAGACAACGAAAGAGCGATACCAAAAGGTCCAGCGCTATACCGGCTTGATTTAAAATTTGGCGATTTTCATGTATAAAAGCAATTTTTACAGAGCCTCAGCCCTTCAAAGCACGCACGCGCACACGCACGCATTAGCTAACAGCTATTGTTCCCAGGTCTAGCTAACTTTGTTAATCAGTATCTCCTACTTTTTTTGGATACTTCTGATACTTGAGTCATTCATTCGTGATGGTGATATACTCTCAGTCCTGGAACCAAATTGTTGTATGATTTGTCTGATTCCGCGTGATCATGGTTGTATTGTGTACTTGTGATTAATTATTGATGAGATGGTGATATTTTCTGTCGTTCTTCGATTTTCATGTTTCTAGGCTTTAGGACATGTTCACTGTTTATTCTCATTTCAGGCCTGCTTTATAAAGCCAATCTGGGTCTTCTAAACATGTTCATTGGCCTAGAGTCACAGACTCTGATTGTGACAAGTAGTATTGCTAGACTACATACACATAGCCCAACCCATACGCGTGGTACCACGCCGCCGAGGGTTTTGCACTTTAGTGCTTTTCATTCTATGGTTGTTACTCCATTCAAGACTACACGAAATAGTATGCTTTATGGTCTCCCGTGTCTCCTGTAACTTCCTTCACTCTCCTTCACTCACTAGCTATATCCCTGCATCCTCTCTTCCCTCCCTTGACTCCCCTGAATCCCTAGACTCACTCTCTGGACTGCGATCTCTCCCATGGGTGACTTTTGGTTTTCTTTCTTTCTTTTTCTATTCTCTGTGGCTAGTATGCTATAAATATACTTTTCATGTGATCAAGTTCCAACGTGGGGTCAGATAGGGCTATGTTCTTTCTCCCATGCTGTTCTCTGCTTGTGATGGAAACCCTCCAGACTCAGAGGCAGGAGTCTCTATCAGGGGAATCTGCACACGATCACTCTGCCACACTGTGACCTACAAAGTGTCAGAATGAATCTGTGATCCCCAGGTTGATATCATCAAGTTATTCACGAGTACCAATCAGCTTAAAAGTGTTGAATTCACTGAGAAGCTAGGCTTCTGGTCCTTTTATTGTTCAATTAACAATGCAGGTTTCTTGAAGAGGTGTATGATGACATAAGTAGAGAGCGATGCCACATGCTTCTAATCCCTCGAAGACCCTAAGGGCTGCTGATTCTGACTAAAAGTGTTGGTGAGGGACATTTCATGGAACTGTGGGACATGGCACACGACCAGAGTGTTCAGGGTTCGAGATCACTCTCTGTAAATTCTAAAAGTCATTGCAACACCAATTCATTTCCTACTACAAGGAATGTGACACGAACATTGTGCCATTCTCCAACTTCGGTTATGTAGCTAGTCTCTGGTCGAGGTATAAAAGGCAGTTGTAATTTCCACATTAACTTTGTTTTCACACATAACTTAAATGCAGAATCACGAAAGTGTTTAATGAAAAGCAAGCATTGAACTTGATGATTACATAACAAAAATGACGCATGCTCCCTCTGAAATGGATGGTATAATGACGGTATTGGCTCACACCGCAACCTTTCGTATACCACTGTGCCCAGAAACACAGTTTTCTAGATGCATTTAACACAAACGGGCATAATGGGAATGCTTGATAATCTAACATACTTCTTTTAGCTCCCAAACGTATAGCGAACCTTGAATGTGAGTCGCCATGTTATGCAAGTCCTGCTCTGAACTCTATGAAATAGTAGCCAACTTTCAAGACCATTTAACTGCTTAATGGGCGTCGATCGCGAGGTCTATAGCTTGATGAGATGCACGCAGTTACCGTGGAAAATTGGCGAGTGAAGCGTTGTCGTCTGAAACGGATGCATACGCCGTCGTCGTGATGCACGCGCAATAATCGCTCGATGCGTTGCACCGTCGCGCTGGCCAGCGCAGCGGCGGAAGTAGCTATATACAGTTAGCAGGCAACATTACGGAATGGGCTACAAACACATGCTCATGGAATACAACTTGTAACATACAAGACATGCAGTTGTAAAACATGTAGATATATAAGAGTTCATCTAAAGAGGACCATACAGAATGACACTGTTCAGCTTATTCTCGGTGGTGAAAAGATATTCGACATGATAATTGACAAATTCATCCATTGTTATCTTTTCATCCCCATCTTTGTCCATGGCATTAAAAGAATCCTGAGCATATCCTGGCGGTATACCCATAGCAGCATTATGCATCTTCCATTCATTGATGTCGATAATATCATCGCCATTGGCATCAAGACATACAAACATAGTCTTGAATAGCTTATTTTTAATATCATCTTGATCTTGGGCCATCGCAGCCTGCCAACGTTGTTCAAATTCCTCATAGCTTAACACAACAGTATCACCAAGCCCAATTTTATCACAGAAAGACGACATTACTTTAGACAATTTTTCGATTTTGTCTGTTGTACCACCAGCACTCTTCTTGTAGCGTTCAACTACTAATTCAAAATCACTTCTGGTTATAGAACCATTCTTGTCAGTATCACGTGATTCAACTGCTCTGCGAAACTTTTTCTTCCAAAATTCACTCTTTCTTAGCTCGACAAAATCAACCATCTTCAACTACAAATCTCTCTTGTATGACAACTACAAACAGTAAGAAATGTACATTAGCTATATAAGCAGAGTTGCTGTGAGGAATGTTTGAAGTTTTCGTCAAAGGCAGAATCTGTCATCCTGAGCCAAGTAGCTAATGCAGGAATTTGGACATGCACAGCAGGTGCTTAGTACTTCAGCGAAGCATTGTGATAATGAAAAGCACTAAAGTGCAAACCCCTCGGCGAACTGCGCATCCACGGTACCGCTAATTGATGGGCGGTGGATGTACGCTAGTGGAAATGTTGAAATGATGAGGAATTTTTCCTATAAATAAATCAAAGGCAAAATCTGTCATCATGAGCCAAGTAGCTAATGCAGGAATTTGGACATGCTCTTTGTGTTAAGGTGTCTGTACATTAAGGGAATAGGTTTCAAACATTTTCCAATTATCATGGCACATAAAGATACTCATAAGCAGGTCCTAACATTGTAGCACTCTATTGCTAATACTTTTGTACTTGCTCTCCAACCATGTATACATGTCATTGTGAATTAAAAAAATACGGATGCCATGGAGCAATGGACAGATCACACAAAATACACACACTGAGTCCCACACACACCGTGTGGTCTGTTTGTTGCACCTTGCATTTCTGCCCCCAAGTTGTATTACATCGTTTCCATGACGACCACAACAACAAATAGCCTCAGGCAATTTTCTATACAACTACTCCTTCACTCCTCAAACTTGCTAACTATAGCACGCATGGAGGTGAAACTTGGTACGCATGTGTGTAACATCGTTTCCATGACGACCACAACAACAAATAGCCTCAGGCACTTTTCTTTAAAATTTCTTTTCCAGCCCCGGGCATGTAACAATAGACCATGTGATGCCAAGAGAAAAAAGATGCTGAGCTCTGGACAGCTGTTTCGGGCTTGTTAGCCCTCATCAGCAAAGCATACCGCAACTTCTCTCTCTGGCATCACGAGTTGATAAAGGCAGAGTTGAGCGCAGCACTTGTGGTTTTGAACTAATGAGATTCATCCCCGCAAGGCTTTGCTCAGGCGCAGCACTTGTGGTTCTGAACTAATGAGATTCATCCCCACAAGGCGTTGCCAATACGAGCCAAAACCCGAATTCAGCATGCTGACAGTGGATTGGGCCGCGGCAATGAAGCCAGCAAGCACCCATATCCTGCCAGCGCATACACATGCACAGTTCGCCGAGGGTTTGCACTTTAATTGTTGCTGGAAAGTCTGCAATCTGATAAGTTGACACACATTTCTCAAAACTATCTCGAATGTCACTAGACCCTCCCCTGTGGGGTGGGAGGGGTCTAGTAACGAGACCACGTACCCATCCTTTGACCCATTATAATTCTTAGGCATGTTTTGGGATCTGTGTTTGTTCAGTGGAGACAATTTTATTCTGCTATCAAATGTCTACGCTATTCCATATGCCTACCTTTTGGCCTTTGTCGAGCACTATAATTATACCATTTTCTCTGTCAACCTGTTCATGGTTAGGTTGTTTGCTACTGGGGAAACTCACAGCATGAGTCAGTGTGTGTATTTAGTGTGATCTGTCCATTGCTT